CGGTGAGATTTGAACAGCCGAACTGCAGAACTGCAGTCAGCTGAAGAAGCCTGCAGTGCTGCATTTAACCACTGCGCCACCTCGGTCTTGTTGTAGTCGGGTCTTTTCCCATGTAAGATTGAGATTGTCTTGGCATTTCAGCAAGGTCTCACTTGCCATCTTCAGGCTGGACGGCAGCTCCAAGCATGCTTTAAGCTAAAAACTCCAGCTTGAAGATGGCGAGTGAGACCTTGCTGAAACGTTGCCAAGACAATCTCAATCTTACACGGAAAAAGACCCGAATACAACAAGACCAGTGTACGTACACCCATGAAAATCTACATAACCATCTCGTCTTTCTTTCAGTGTTTTTACTATTACTATAATTATCAATCCATCTTATGATTCTTGATGAATGTATTCTATTTTATTCTATTTTATTTTTCTTTATGTACACTGAGAGCATATGCACCAAAGACAAATTCCTTATGTGTCTAATCACACTTAACCAATAAAGAATTCTATTCTGTTCTGTTCTGTTCTATTTTATACTTCCAAGTTGCAGCAAGGGGAAGGCAAAAGACAGAATGGTGCTAACGGAAGTGGAAGAGTTTGGATGAGTGAAGAAGTGTGAAGATCTCCTTTTGCCCTTCACTTGGCGATGCCCCACCAAATAGTCAATTTTGTCACTTAACTTTAAGAGCACAATCAGCAGGGGCTCAGGGGCTGGAACAGGAAGCTTGGGAGACATATGGTAACCTGTTCCTTACCAATAAAGTTCCTTTATATGGATTACATTTTGTGTTATCATTCTTTTACTGTATTTGCCACTGTAAATAATAAAAAAATGTTCATAGTAGAAGAAAAGGGAAAAAATCATCCAATTACCTGAACTGGGCCTACTATCACTATCAAGATATTCAATGGAAGTTTTGCCGACATCCAACTTCAGTTCACTGATCTGCTGGTCCAATTGATCCAGATGAGTTTTCAGTCCCACATCTTGTCTCCTTAGCCGTGACTGTTCATAGGGGAAAGGGAAGATGTTCAGTTTCTTTTGGCTCTGTAGGACCAACTCAATATTCCCATCTTCTAGGACTAGTCCGATCTTTGAAGAAATAGCACAATAGGAAGACTAGTAGCTTCTAATCACAGTAAGTTAACTGGATTCTATGAGAGTTAAAATTGATGATTTTGATGGTAAAACTGAGTATGGAAGGACTAATTCATAATGATAATTCATTAATACATTTTGAAGTTCTATCTGTAGAACCTCCACTTGTGTGGATATTTAATTAATAAACCATTTCAGAAACTCAGGGACTTGAGTGGACCATCTTGATGATAACCAAAATATCTGAAGCTGTACACTGCTCAAAGTTAATCTTTAAAATGGGTGAAACATAAATTAGACACACAAACAGATAAATAAATAGACATTTTAAATGGGGGAAAGACACTCCCAAAATCCTCTGTGATCTAAGGCACAAGGATACCAAAATATTCCTTTTTCTCCTCCCTAAGCAATCTACTAATTCCAATTTATGGATTATGTGGATTCTTTCTCATTCATGCATTTCAATTTCCTTTCAGCTGCTAAGAAAGGCTTCCACTGATTTTAGAAAATCTGGAGAAAGCCCATAAAGTTACTAATTTTATATCCTTACAGACAATAATTCTTGCTTAATATACATATTTCTAGAGGAAAAGCTTCCAGTATTGCCTTCCTTGGAAGGTAAAAACTTTTAAAGCATTTTTTAAAAAAGCAAATTTCCCTTCTCCAAAACAAAACAAATGTTCTATTCAAATTGAGAAAAATCCTTGGATTAAATCAACAAAATTTTAATAAACATGCGATCCCCAAAAGTCTGCTGTTTATTGGACTAGGAAAATACACTTTAGACCAGGGGTCCCAATCCCCAAACAATGGTTCACTACTAGGCTGTGAGCTGTTCAAAACTGGGCTGCCCAAAATGGTGGGCGATGGTGCACACATCCCCTTTTCACAAGCATCAGGTGAGTGCATGCACGTGTGCTCCATTTGTGCGTGCATGTTGGCACTTTCCCAATACTTGCACTGAACCATCCCTTCTTCCCCATCTCCCCCACCATCTGCAAAGCCAGAAAAGTTGGAGAACTCTACTTTAGACTTTCTATGAATCTCTGTGTGTGTTCACATAGCTCATAAGCCTAAATGCATATACTTTCAGCTCCACTATTGCAGAATTAATGATTGCTGGAAATGATTGGCAGTAAACTCAGAAATTTCAACCCTCTGAAATTTCGCTCATTTGCAAAGCAGCACTGACATCTGGAACAGCAGTGGCTTGTTAGGAAGCACTTAATTTAACTCCCCCTTTCCTCTCTAATTAAATACTCCACCCCCTACCAACCTTACAGATTTAGCCAGCAAATATATCTTAGAAGCCTAGCTTGGAGGATGGGGGGGCAAAACTTCAAAACTTTGCACATATTTTTAACAGATGAAATCCAGATTGCTTACATGTAGACCAATGTGGAAGGGGTGTGCAGACAAATGGGAAACTTCCTCTCCCCACCCCAACATCCCAATCCCTGCAATCACTTTCTTTCTTTCCTGCCTTGAGTGGAGATGTCTTCTATTTAGGTCCACATGAATGTCAGAAGACTATTTGTTGTGGCTTCACCCTGACACTTATATGAGTAATAACGTCCATATAGTCAGGCAGTCTGATAAAAGCCGAGTTCTTAATTGCAGTGGCTTACATAGCAGAGTAAATGTGTGCTTAACGGGCTTCCAAAGTGTGTTTTGCTAAGCTGAGCAACAGGATCATCTTCCATGGCCAGGTGCATTTGTTCAGCAAAAGCATTAGCTTTATGGATTCTCTGTTCAATAAGCAGTTTCCAAGATGATTTATACCATTCTTGGCAACCTCCTACTACTGTATGAGAGATGCAGTTTCCTGCAGGTTTTGTTAGCAGACCTAATCTAACAACGGCACCAGTCACAACACAATCCATTCAAATACATAACCTTTCTTGCTAGCATTCCAAACTAACGAAATACACGTATTTTTTTCTTCTGTTTAAGCACTGCTCTTCTGATGTGCAAAGGAATGAAAGAGCTTTAGGCTTTACTGATTTCAGGAAGTAAGTAACTGAATTTTGTTTTCATGGTTGGAATTAATTGCTTCATGATTAATGTTTTGCCAGCCAATCCCTCCCTTTGTGGTTTCTGATTAATGGCAGAGAGGCCAGAAAGCATTCACAGGACTCTCAGGTATTCAAGGATAATTTATTGTACCAGGATCTGTTTGCAACTTTACAGCACTTTAACCAGTATGAGACTATTTACACTGGCCTTATAAACCCTTTCCTCTTTTCCAACTTTTCCTACCATGAAGCCTGGTGTGCTTCATCAGTGTTTGGTTGGCTTCATACTTCTCATCCGTTCCTGATTTGTATTTCTTGTGCTCAAACTGCTCCTTTGAGACCCATTTTTTTTGATGATCCCAAAATCCATTTGTTCCAGTCAAGTAGGGCTTTGCCTGATACATCTGGCCACAAACTTTGGGGGTGAGTCTCCTTACAAGGAATTGGAATTCCCATCAAGAGTTCCATAAATCACCTATACTGGACTAATTCCTTCCAAAAGAGTTGCCAACATGGCCTTTTGTTGTAGTGAGGGGAGCTACAGGAGTTGTAGTTCAACATGTTTGCTAAGCAATCGGTACTGAAGGCTTCAATAAGGCTTTGTTTTCCTCCAAGGTTTGATTTAATTAGAGCACCTTATGCTATTAAGAGCTTAGGGTCTTCCAAATTGCTAGTTCATTGGGGGGGGGGGTTGGAGGGAGATAGTATTAATTTGTTAATATTGCCCAGCTGTTGACCTCCAAAATATTCTACCATAAAACACAAGGTGGAGAGGTGTGCAAACACAATTGCAAGGAATACTTGAATAACATTAGAAAATACATTTTCTGGTATGTCAATCAAGAAATTTTTAGTTTATTTATAAATCATTTCAAGTTATTAGGCACTAAGCAAAAGATAAAAGAAATAGGCCTTTGTATAAAAGCTTAGAGTAGGACAAAGAGAAGCAGCCTAGTGAAAAAACAGAGATGGTGGGGACAAGTTCCAAGCAGAAATATTACCTGCAGCATTAGCAAATGATTTTAAAATATCAGCTGAGAAAAAAATATATGCAGTAGATCATGAAAAGTATGATTTTTCAAAAGCTCCCTTTGCTTAAAAAAACCCAGAAACTTCTTTCCTTAGACACTTAGAAATATTGCTGATATAAGCAATCAACTAAAAACTGAAGACATTTGACATTAGCTCCATTTTACCTTTTCTAGAGCACATGGCCGGCTCATTTAGGGTTAGATGGAATTTCAGCAAGAATAACTGGTCCTTTCAGTGCTGAAAAGTTTTGAAGTGCCTGCCAAAATCTATAGAGGCAGAAGGATCTCAATGTTGAAAGGTTGGCCATTGTGCTCTCGCTATTGCCCAGAGGGCAAACAGATTTGACTTCCCTTCCTGTTCTTCCTGAATATTATCTGCTGTCTAGTAATCAGATTATTTCAGCTAAATTCCTATTTTTAACACTGTTGTTTCCCAAAAAATGTTACTGGCAAGTGCTCGGTACGTTTTACAACTGTAAAAATGTTCGATGGCCAGGTTAGATGGCCAACTCACCCCTAATTAATGTAGCAAATGTAGTGAAGATTGCCAGTATGGGTGACTCATTTAGCTGGATATATTTTCTAATATTGTGTTCTTTAAACATAAAGAGTGACTCCATCAAAATAAAGGCAGAGTTATTATGATGAAACCAAATGCTTACTGCACATATGATGGGATTTGGTTAGTAATGCAGCCTTAATTTTATTGTTTTTCTTCTTATGGAAAAGCAGGGTGGAAACTGGACACACTTGAACTAGAAGGTACTTGTTTAGAAGACTCAAGTATTAAAAGTAGGAATTTAGCTGAAATAATCTAATTACTATTCAGGAAAGGAAGTAAAATCTGTTGTAATAATTGGTCTCTACGAACTATGTGTGACCTGCTTCTAAGTTGTGCAGGACTCTCAGATGCTATTGATAACTTTGATCAGGATCTCTTTAGATTGTTTGAAAAAGTCTGTAAGTCAGTAGTCTCCTCTTTGTGTTTTAGAATAATGCTCAATATACTAATTTCTTTATTGTTCATCAAATTTCTACACCATCTAAGTGACTCTGGGGAAGTTTATAAATTTAAAAAAAGAAACCCAAGCACTAAAAACAAAGTTAAAAAGGGTTTACAGAGGCTTAATGTTTTAAAAAGGCAGAGGAAGTGCCCTTAAGACATCAACGTCCCCAAAGTTGCATGCTACTCTTATTCCCCCATGCCAGTTGGCAGAGCCAGGTCTTGACACTTCCAGAAGGCCAGGAGGATAGGATCTGCCTTGTCTCTGTGGGCAAGACATTCCATAGAGGAGGGGCAATAATAACAACAGAGAAAGCTCTTTTCCTTGACTCTACCAGTTCTTAAATTCTTTAGCTAATGGGATCTGAAATATGCCCTCCCTGATTGAATGGGATGGGTCAATGAAATAAGTATAAGATAGTTCTCAGGCAGCCTAGTCCCATTCCATGAAGGGCTTTAATCATGATAAACATCACCTTGAATTGGATTTAGAAGCAAGCAAAACATTGGACTACCGATGTATATGAAACCTTTGCAATAATGGGAACACTGTGAAGTCTTTTCCTTCAACCCCTTTCTCAGCTAATTATCTGCTCAATCTTCATCAGCTAACCATCCATTTTTCAAATCTTATACACATGGAACAAATGAGCTATTATAAACCAAAATACAGATATCAAATAGGAGCAAACTGTTTTAGATAGAGGTCATTGGGAGTTTGTACTAGTCCACCAGCATTGAGCAATCAATAAATGCGTTAACTCTTATTTTCTTTGGCATTCAATAAAATGTAGTGGGGTTATCCATTAATATTATCAATGGCAAGTAATCAAAAGATTGGTAGTACATCTGTGCTGCCATTTTGACTCTAATCAAAATATGCTGGCTTCAAAGCTTCCCAGGTGGGATTTAAGAATCTCATGAAGGTTAAAGTCAATTTTC